GGTGACGCACACCTTTAATCCCAGTAGCCACACTAGTTGCCATAGAAACTGGGTGTAGTGGTGCATGCCTTTAATCTCAGCTCTAGAGAGGATTGTAAAACGGAAGGAAACAGCTCTCAGACTCAGTCGCATTCTGAGATTCCAGGAGGCAGGATCGCCATTTCGGACTGAGGTAGAGGTAAGAACCAGTGGCTGGCTGTTTTACTTTTCTGACCTTCAGGTTGAACCCCAATCTCTCTCTCTCTGAGTTTTTATTAATCGTGCTTCCCCAACACCCTTTCCACATTCCCACTTTGTTCTACATTTCTGCAGTTCATATTAAAATAACGGCCATTCTCTTCTATTGTGTTGCAAAATTTTAAGACTGTCTTTCCGGAACTCAAAATTCCCCCACAGAATATTTTTTTAAAAGTAATACAAGGACACTCTGGTTTCCACACCATCCACAAAAGCTTATTCAGCACATCAGAAAAGCACATGAGGATACATGGGACCTACCCACGCTGTGCCTACTTCTGTAAGGAAAAAAACCTTCCTGAGCCCACAGGGGCGTGGGCAGTCCTGATCTCTTCCTTCCCACTTCCATGACCCAGGTGAAGAGTCCCCGACACCCCTCTCCTTGCCCCCAGTCCCTTCTCTTCCAGGAAAGAGAAAGAAAAGGGCAGCCCAGCAACAGTTGCTCCAGGCAAGCAATCAAGGAAGCAGTTCTGCTCTTGGGAGGGAGGGCAGCAGAGGACAGGCAGAAGCTATTGGCAAGTGTCCTACAGGGCAGGGCTGACCTGTAGACTGATGACTCTGTTGGAGGCAAAGGCTACGGCTGGACTCAAGTCTAGGAGGCTGCACGGACAGGATTTGCTATCAACAGAGGTCCACCATGTACTCATTCATTCATTCATGCATTTATTCATCCAGTGGACACTTAACTGAGAACACACCATCCCAGGTGCTATACCACAACCTGTGGCAAGATTTTCCTTATTAGATGATTTGGCTGAATCTAGCACCTTCCTGCATTTCTAAGGAGTTTTACTGGCATTCCGCCACACTCCCATTGCTTCTGCAGCATAAGAACAGAGTGTATGTCAGTTGTGACAAAAGCTACGTGACCTGCAAACCCTAACGTTCACTATCTGGTCCATTATAAAGACAGTTCGCCAAACCCTGCCTTGGAAAATGCTGGATGAGTCCAGCATAGTTCTCTCCATATTAATTAGGAGAATTAAAAGCCTAATACATAGTGCTCTAAAATGTTAGCTTAGAGGAGACCTCACAGAGACCAAGAGCCCACACCAATGCACCTTTGGCCTCAAGGTCACAGAAGGAAGAGGGCTGAGTATGAACCAGAAAGCAGTTCTCGCCAGACACACCAAGTCTACTGGCACCCAAACTTGGACTTTCCAACCTCCAGAAGTACGTTTCTGCTATCTTATCAATTGCCAGTTTATGGCATTTTATTATGGCAGCCCAGACCAACTGTTTCTAAATACTCTTCTTCTTGGTGCCTGTCACCTAATCCCTCTTCCATCTCTAAACTCATCTTAGTGCTGTCACCTACCCCTTCCCCCACAATCTCAAAGCCTACCTGAAAACATCAACTAGAAAAAACTCGGGTCCTTTGCCAAAGCAATTGTTTTGTTTGTTCGTCTGTTTTGTTTTTGAGACAGAGCCTCTCCATGTAGCCTTGGCTGTCCTGAAACTCACAACATAGATCAGATAAGGCTCTAATTTACAGAGATCTGCCTGCCTCTGCCTCCTGAGCGCTGGCACGCCAAGCTAGAACAAGTACTGATGGTTTCTGGTCTCTTTCTCCAGCCCCTAGATTGAGGGCTAATGATAAATCATCTAGATCAAGATCTGAGTGACACAGCACATATGAGCATTTTCAAAGGAGGAGCTACGGGAATCAAGTTTATAGCACACCGAAACCCTTTAACTAACACACAGTAATGCTGCACAAAGTGGATCATATAACGAAGACGGTTAAGCACCCAGAGAAGAATGAATCTTCCATCATTAAAGATTTGAAGTCTAGCTCTTCAAATGAATACACACATCATGTAAAACTACACTGAAAAGAAGGAATGTATGTTAACAAGAAAGCAAGAAAAGGTAAGGCTGTGTATGGGGTGTGTGTGTGTGTGTGTGTGTGTGTGTGTAAACTGAAATAGATGCAAACTAAAAAGAAGACCAAAGCACACAATTTTCCCTAGTTGCTATCACCTGCTATTTGTTTCTAACCCCAGTGGTTCAGAAGGCCCAGCCTCCTCCTGGGTCCATCAGCAGTGTCAGAACCTAGCACTGAGTTCTAGTGCCCATGTGAGCACGTGGAAAGCTCACTTCCTCCCTGAGAGTGCTGGAGAGGGCGGCGCTACCTGCCCTGCACCTCTGCATCATCACCACAGCAGCGCTACCCAGAAGTGTATGTGAGGGTCAAAATGCTCTCTCCCTGCACCGGCCAAAATCACCACCGTACGCGCCAGACACACAGACTCCCGAGCACCTGAAACACAGCTTCTATGGCTGAAGCACAGCATTTTATTACTACAATTGCTTTTTGAGAATTCCATGTATGAGAGCTGAGTCTGCATCACTTCCACTCCCTGCTCTCGCTCTCCAACTACGGCCCCTCCCTCTCAAACTTAGGACCTCTTCTCCATGACCACCATTGTACACACATGCATACACAGGCACACACACACCCGACTAAGTCCACTGAGTGCTGCTCACATGTACATGTGCTTAGGGGTGACCTCTTGAGAGTGGATTCAGGCTTATTACTTTGTCATTAGTATTTGGGTGTTTTGTTGTTTCTGGTTTATTACTTTTATTTTTTTATGACAGCCTTATGTAGTCCAAGATGACCTCAAATTGAAAAACACCCTGCCTAAGCCTAAGTAATGGGATTAAAGATGTATGCCACAATGGGTTTTTAAAAAACCCACATTAAAAAAAAAACCCACATTTTAAATACTAATGAATTAAAAATAACAGAGCTAGAGCCAGGTGTGGTGGTACATCCCTTTAACCCCAGCACTCAGGAGGCAGAGGCAGGTGGGTCTCCAAGTTTGAGGCCAGCCTGGTCTAAAAAGCAAGTTCTAGGACAGCCAGGGCTACATAGAGAAGCTGTCTGGAAAAAAAAACCAATGAATTAAATAAGCAATAAACAAAAAAGAAGCTTGCAGAGCCGCACTCATCCAGCAGCTGCCGTCCTGTACAGGGCAGGTCTACAGCGTTCAGAGACTGACTTCACAGACTTCTGCCTTTCAGGAAAGACCGGATTTTATTTGCAAAGCTATGACCTGACTATCATTCCAACACAAGAGCCTGTCACTCTTGCTTTCGGTTATGGCAGCAGCCAAGTCCGCTGTGCACACCAATTTCATCTGCTTCTCCTTCTACTATCCGGGTCAGAAACGCACTGTGTTTCATCAGCTATGAAATACCACCCTGGACCTGTTATCTGTGCAAGGCTTTGGAAATGGAGCTAGAAGGGCTGGAGAGGTGGCTCTTGTAGAGCATCTGGGTCAGTTCCCAGCATCCACATGGCTAGAACTTGAGTTCTACATGATCCAACGCCTTCTTCTGGACCCTGCAGGCACTGCACACATGTGGTACACACTCAGACAAGTAGGCACTTGGACATACACATAAAATTTAATCTTTAAATTTTTAAAATAGGATCGTGCCGGGCGGTGGTGGTGCACGCCTTTAATCCCAGCACTCGGGAGGCAGAGGCAGGCGGATCTCTGTGAGTTCGAGACCAGCCTGGTCTACAAGAGCTAGTTCCAGGACAGGCTCCAAAACCACAGAGAAACCCTGTCTCGAAAAAACCAAAAAAATAAAATAAAAATAAAAAAATAAAATAGGGTCGTAATGATTCAAAGGTTGCTTCACCCAAAACAATCTTAAAATATTCTTTTTACTCTTAGAGAAATTAAAACAAAACATCTACTTTTAAGTGTTAGTTCACAGAAGGAAAAGAAAAGCCAGCACGGGCTGTGTGTAAGGGAATGAAAACCACATCTGTGAAGGTCAGTCTTGTCAATTTGATTGAACTGAGGGACACTTAGGAGACTCACAGAGCAGGCTTCTAGGTATGCCTGTCAGGGCACTTCCAAAAACTGGCATGCGGGACAGCAAACCAGAGGGACCTGCCCTAAATGAGGGCAGCACCATACAACAGGCCTGCCAGCTTGTCAACAGAAAACTGTGAAGGAAGCCAGCTGCGCAGACATGAGCTTAAGTCTTCCTGAGTGAGGGGTCTGTCGCTCCTGCTGTGACCTGCAGGCATCACACTCCAGCATGTATGTCACTGTGGGTGTATACCAGGAAGCCTCAGGCTGGAGCCACATCACTGGTCACTTTGGTAATGCTGCTCCCAAATGTACCTTGCCCCTGCCTACCCTCAACTCCTGCTGTGCACCTCACAGTTGCTTAAGTCACATCCACTGATTCGGGAAATACTAACACTTACTGCACACGGAACCCTGTTTCCGGGGTCTGGTTACCTCTCAGAATAGTCCCTACTTCAGGGTTCCTACCTTTGGGAAACTGTTTCCACTTCTGTGTGCGAGCCAGGAACAGGGACGTTGTTTCCTTGTCTCTTCCCAGAATTCCCATGAACCACTTGGTCCTAAACGGCCTTCTACATTTGCATGCATCCTCTCTAGTTCTATTCTCTACTGCTAATTGCCTAGAGACTACACTAGTAGCTGATAAACAGGGACAATTCCTGCCCTTAAGTGTTTATCTTGGAAACACTGATTTTTGTCACAAATCAGGGTTCTCCTGGTGTCTAATGGGTAGGAGCTAGGGGTGCTGCTGAACACTCCACAGTGTTACATGTCCCCAGAGAACTCTGGAGCTGATGTGCACATACCAGAGAGGGATGCGCATCCCCACTTCAGGAGCACTGTGGTGTAATAAATATGACCACTATCTTTGATCAGACTCTACTCTAGAGAAAGGTGTTTTTCTGTGTGAACGCAGTCAATACTCACTGATGCATGCTCTCCACTCCTGCTATGATCATGATGCAGTAGGAAATCCCACTCTGGACGAGAAAGTGTAAGGCATACCTAGAAAAAGGGAGAATGTGTCAGAAGCAGCCACAACCATCCAATGCAAAGACTACAGGTGGGAAAGTACTTAATGTAACCTAGAAGGTTGTCTGTCTCTGTCTCTGTCTCTCACACACACACAAATAACTAAATCTTCCCAAGTCCAAATGACATTCTGCAAACACCCAGGATTGGGAGCCCCAAGCCTCAGGCCAAAGGAGCTGGATAAATAAAACCAACCTTTACAAGCCCAGCTCAAGGCCCCAGCACTCCACATATCCTAGCAACAGGAAAGCAGCGTGGGGCCATGTAGACTGAGGATGGCCGCCGCCCTCATAAGACAAGGAACAATAATTTTAAAAGGAGTAATAAACATGGATTACAGAAAAGTCCTGGCAGAAAGCCTGCTTTTTCCCCTAACTTCTCCAACACCAGCTTTCTACTTCTGTTTACCTTTGTAACAGGGTAATTCACAAAACCCCCAAATCTATTTTCAAAGCACAGGGGTCAGTCAAATGAACTTTCTTCTAAAAATCCAGTAATTTGCTATGATGTGTTTGCGGTTGGCATGGCAGTCCTTTCTAAAATTCCAATATAGAAATCACCATTTAATGACAAAAGTAATTCATCTATTCGGGTCACAAATTTCAGGCAAAATATGATTTGGACCTCTGGGACTAAACTCAGCCCAAACCATCCGAGATCAGACATCACACATGCACATGTGCACAGACACACTCTTGCAGTCTTTCAACTTCTCTTTTGGATGGCATGATGTATAGAAAACTTCTGCAGTTCTCATGTACAAATTATTAAGATATTAACATACAATTAAAATTCCTTTTTATCTTCACAACAGACTGTCAGATAATATGAATGCGGGAAAACTGCTTACACATTTTTCTACAGACATATTACAAATAAGAAGCCAGCCCCAAGACAGGTCCGAAGACAGGCACTTTACCCGCTATACACACTAGGCCAGACTACGTCTCTAAACACACACACACACACGTGTACACACACCACATACACACATCCAGAAAGCAATGATCTGGAATGTTGGCTATAATCAGAGGGCTTTGAGGAGACAGGAAAACATATACAAATATAAATGAAAATAGAACGAAGCTTTAAAGTAATTAATTGAAATCTCATCCACCTATTTATTGTCAACAGTTCACTAACAGACCTTTAGGTACGTTGTTGGGGACTGCTAGGTACTTTTAAGAACTGTTAATACTCAAAAGTATCTTCAACAGGGTGGAAGAGCATGTCTGATTGAGGGTTACTGAGAAGACTGTTTCCTTTTCTAGGGAATCTCCTTGGGGCATCAAGACTTGGAAGCCTATAGCAAAGAACACTGCAAACATCACGCTAGTGGCTTGGCAGACTTCAGGCTCCCACTCCCGGCAGCATGCTTAGCTACCATTTGGCGGCAGGGTGACACTTAGGCAGGTACTTGCCATGCTCATCTCTGCTGCTGTGGTAAATGGAGGTAGAGCACTGACCAGCTCTGGATTCATCTCTTTTGTGAATTCCACAACTGGCAGCAGCTCCCTACTCTAGCACTCCAGTGACAATCCTTATCCTGCCCCTCACTGTCTCACGCATCATCATTAGTACATGCACATAGGATTAGTGCCATGCTCACAGGAAGCACACTCTGGCCACTTCAGGTTTTCAGGATTATAAACTAACACATGGAAAGTCCATGAGTGTTGTAGAATAGTATTTTGAAGATGTGTTATATTTGTGTATGCTGTGGAATGTTTGTTTAATGACGCAAAGATGTGCAGCATTCTTTTATGTTGCATTTGCTTAACTCTGTGGAGCCGTGTGACTTTGCCTGCCTAAAACAACTGATTGGTCTAATAAAAAGCCCCCCAAAAGAGCAAAGAGGAAAAAAAACAACTATGCAGAAGTAAAAAGCTAATTCGATACCACATGAAAAGGGATAACAGAGATTGGATGAACAGAGAAATGCCGCTCCTGAGCAACCAGATAATGGGAGTACAGTCTGAGCATCCCTCACCCACAGATCCACTCAAAAACTTCCTACTCTGGAGCACCCCAGAATGCAAGCTTATTCATCCAGGTCTTCAGACAGTAAAGTCTACGTAAATATTCCAAAATCAGACACTTGTAATCCCAGGAATTTCAGACGAGGGGCACTCACCCTGGAACAGACTGAGTCTGAGACCAGCCGTGTTCATGCTAACAAGCACCAGCTCATGCTCCTCTGTGGTGCTCCAGGCCACAGTAAGCACTCTCTGGTTCCATTTTACAGACGGGTAAAGCTAAGATTACATTAAGATGGCCAAAGTCAGCAGCTGCGAGTCACAGAACACTGAGACTCAGTCTGGGTCTGTCCAGCTTCAAACATCTAAGCATTCATCACCCTACACTCTGCTGGACAATTTGTGTTCCATTTGTTTGTTGTGTGTGTGCTGTGTATGCCCGTGTTCCTTTGGAAGTCAGAGGACAATAGGCAGGACTCAGTTCAGTCCCTTTGTCACGTGGGTTCTAGGGATCAAACTCAGGTCACCTGGCTTGGCAGCAAGCACCTTTGCCCACTAAGCCAGATCACTGGCCAATCAATACTATATAGTCTTAGCAAAGCTATTACAATGAATACAAGAGGCTTGTAGGCACTAAGAAAAATGGAGAGGAGACTACGCAGAAGTAGGTGAAGTGAACAATTATGTTAATTATATTTACAGAGCTAATACGTCCTCCAAAAGGGAAGTTGTAAAAATCAGTGAGAGGGTTGCCTCTGAGCAAAAGAAAAAGAAAAAACACTAACAAAGCAAAGTTAAAGAATAAACCAGAATACTTACCATTAACTAATTCTAACTAATAAAAAGTTAACTTACTCTCTCCCTCTTACCAAAAGAAGAGGAGAAGGAGGAAGAACCCAGTGAAGTAAATAAATCTCTTGCTACCATATGTAACTTGAAACTCAGGACATCGTAACCTTGAGCTCAAGTTTGGTAACTAGGATGCTGTGTTAGAAGGTATCCATGAAGATTTAACATGGTGAAACACCTCAGTGAAGAGACTCATGCACTCTGCCCCCATACCCACCCTCCCCGGCCCGCTGCACTCCCCTGCCTTTCCACAGAGCACAAAGTGAAGTGAGCCCTCATGAAAACAGGCTGCATACACATATGGGATACTTAGCTGCTGATGAGAGAATGAACACACTGAGAGACACATTCAGTGTGCTCCAGGAATAGGGGCAGATAAAATAAGGAGCGTGGAGTGTTATTAACTGTTGAAGCTGGGGAATCAGGGAACTACAGTCCATCCATGTAGTCCATGTTGTGAAAGCTCTATGATGTTTAAAAACATACACTGCTCCTACAAGTCAAAATAGAAACCTCAGGAAACTTCAATGATATACATACTTAATGCCATCCAAACAGTGAAAAGCTCCATATATACTTGGATCTTAAGATATCGAGGCAAAAATCCCAACACCACGTACAGTACCGAGGGCTATCAGAGAGCCAAAGGCAATATGGTAGAGATGAAACAAATGATGCTCACTTGATTGATTTGTGGTAAGTAAGCATGGGTAAATTATACTTAGCTGACTTTTCATGAGGTCCTAGGAAACACTTGCAACTGTTGGAGGCAAAGGGCAGATGGAGAAACACCAGGCAGTGCAGCCCTGGTAAGGACAAAGCCTGAACACCTGGAGAAAAGCGCACTGTTAGCCTAAGAGTGCACCGGCTCTCCAGCCCGCAGTGGAAGGCTCACATGTGTGGGTCAAGTCGGTACACATCCAGCTCTCTCACAGCCTCCTCAGCTCAGACAGGTGCCTGCAGAAGAGCAAGCCAGACTCCTTGTCTGTGAATGGAGAGCACTTCCGAGTGCTCACCCAGGAGGGAAACCTGTGAGTCATCAGAAGCCCTTCTACCGAGAGTCTTCGCAGCCTTGCCAAGAGTGACTGAGCACCTTCCAACCGTGCCTTCCTCGTTCAGACATGCACGCAGGTGCCAAGAAGCAGCACAGGCCGTGCTCAGATTGTAGCTCTCAGGCTAGCCAAGTGAGGAAGACTGGGGCTAGCTAACACAAAGCACGAGCGCACGCTAGCTAACACAAAGCACGCGCGCACGCACATGCACACACACACCACACACATGCACACGAATGAACACCACACATGCACACACACCATGCACGCACACACCACGCACACCACATGCACCACACGCAAACACGCACATGCACACAAACACACACTACGCACACACACCACATGCACACACAGACACCATGCACACGAACACATACCACACACACACCATGCACACACATACACCACGCAACCCCCTCACACACCACACACACACACACACATTTGAAGAATCCAGAGGAAAAACTTGTCTCTTAATTTTTCCTCCACTGAGAACAAACAAAAGCCTCTTTGTTGCTACCAGTAGGAGAGTCAATCAAGTGGGCTTTCCCAGGCTCGTCAGAGTCAACAACACAGAGAAAACCCAAAGGAACAAACAACACAACAATTTCCTGCTTGTTTCAGCATAAAATATTTTCAAGATGGGCGAACAGAACTACTTAACAGACTGTCTTTCTAAGTCCCCCTTGGTCCCTGTTCATAAATCATAAACAATAACTCTTCCCTAAGACAAAGTGAGAGATTCCCATTCCCAACCCACTGTTTCTAAAGATTTTGAAAGTTAGCCTTGAAAGAAAACTTTGTAAGTCAATTTCAGAACAAAAGCCATGTATTCCTCTACACACTCAATTCTCAAACAGACCTACAGCGTTCACTTACACATGATCAAAATACTTACCATCCAAAGCAAAAAAATGCAAGATAAAGGCCCAACAGCGTTGCAACTACGTGTCTGATAAAAGAGCTAGTTTTGCTTGAATGGAGATAAGTTCGAAACCAAACGGCTGCTAACAAGGCAAAGAGTTGGCACACTACAAAGTTGACCTGTAAAGAAAAATTAAAATCTGTGTTAGCAACAGACTGGAATCCTTCAATGTTACACTTAACAGAACACCACAGTCAATATAAAAACTAAGTTCTTTCCATTTATAAAAACCAAAAACCAACAAATGGGGCATTTCCCAGGGAGGAGCTTCAAGTTTAAGCGATGGGTCAATATCCATTCCCTGCATCGCCCCTGACAGGAGACAGGTGTGTGCAGGACACCTGGAAGGAAAGAGACAACAGTGGAGGCACGGGGATGGAAATCACAGGGCACTCTGTGGGTTTAGGGACAGAGCAACCCATTTAGACAATTCAGGCCTTAACAAATGGTGGGAAAGTAAAGCTTCAAGCTTCCCAAAATGCTCAGGGCAGGGTCAATCTCCCCTGAGTCTCCAGTGGCAAGAAGGCTTAGGGCTACAGATTCAGTGGCGTGGGGACACAGGACTATCCCTGGAGTGGAACAGAATGGCGCTGCTGTGGTGTGAACATCACTGCTGTGGCTTAGCTAGATGGTAAAGGTAAAAGATAGCAGGTAAGACACAGAACCCTTGATGTGTGTTGGGCGGGGAGCACACACCTTTCCCAAGTCTAGCAGGGCTACCCTTGAACTCCCCACCATGCTCAGAGCCACCTTCCTGACAGGCAGAGGCAAGCTCGAGGCGCTCGCTCCCCACCCACAGGCCTGAGGAAAGGATGTCTTGTGGAATGTGAAGGTTTAAGGAAAGAAGTTGCTGTTTCCCTCGGGAGACTCTTTCCCTGAAGTGTGCAGGGTGATACTTCTAAAGGCCTGTATCTAAAGCACCCCTTTCCTGCATGACAGACAAGCAGGCTCTTGCCTTGTGTCATGACGGATGCCAGCGGTGCTGGTGTGCTGAGACCACTGCTCTCTGGAGCACATTCAGTGCCAAACCAATGTCTCTCTGGCAGATTCTAGCACTTTCTCCTCCTACAGTTTTAACTGTGTTTTTGAGAATTAGCCAAAAGTAAAGACAATTGGAAAATGACTATTCTTGACACTAATTACTAACATCTATCTACGTGATTCTCAGACTTTTAAAAACCTTCAAGTCCTTCCATCCTTTCTCTCAAATGTATCTTAATTAAACAAACAAAAAATATAGAGCATTTGCAATAGAGAAAAAAAAACACAAGTGAGCTGGAAAGGAAATCTCGACCCTCTCCCAGGGTAACTAGACTCTGACTCTGACAGGAAAAGCATGCACACACAGGAACGCTGGCAGACGTTAGAGAGCCTTGTAGAAGCTGTTTCGAGAACAAGCTTCAAGGCAAATGTCAAAACGAGGTGACAAGGGGACTGGCAGGCAGGGACCAGCAGAGTGCCACCACCCCGAGGAGCTTGCTTTCTCCCAGTGCTCACCCTCTGTCACACATTTTTATATAACATGAAGTTATGACCACAATACAAGTAGTCTATAAAACTTTACAGACTTAATAATCACCTACTCTTTCACATCAAGGACATTGAGACCAGGCCTCACTCTACACAACCACAATTTCTGGCACACAAACTCTACTTTAAAAAAAAAATGTCCAATACAGATTCCAATAACCCGAGGAATGAGAGCCCCACGCTGGACAATAGGGGAAAGGTCATCCTGAGGAACAAGCAATGTAAGGGGCAATGGGTGTGTGGGGAGATGAGGGAGCGAGCTCAGCAAGGGCACTCTGGATGTGTGCATCTAATAACAGGTTCCAAGACCCGTGAAAGGGATCACAACACAAACGCAGGTTAAGAACCACTGGTCTAGAGCCTTGAGACAAATGTGAGTCTGAGAGCTGTGGACACCTTGGAAAGGAGCTACAGAGAGACAAGATGGAGTTGGCCAGGACCTTGCCTGAGCCCTAAAGCTAAAGGATCCCAGCAGCAGAAAAGCAAGCAGTCTTGGGAACTGTAAAAGAAGACCCAGGGAACAGATGCCAAGAGGCTGTAGGCACTGTCACCATAAGGGCAAGGATGGGGCAGTAGCTGCCAACCTAGCAGATCTCCACTGCTCTCTGGAAAGTATCTTTCTCCCAATCACTCACCCTCTTCCCTAGCACCAAGTTCAAACTGGCTTTCTAGTTAAGTAAATACAGCTTTACCAGTGACCTTGGCAAGAGTAGCTGAAAAAGTCCCAGGGGCACATTTTATAGATCAGGAAATGGTCTCAGTATTTAGGTGAAGTCACTAAAGCTGTGGAGCAAAACCCTTCACTTCCCACTACTCGTCAGATAGCTATGCCTGGGATGTGGCCTACAGGGAAGATGCTTTCTTCTAAATGGGAAGAATTTGGAATAAAAGGACTTCGTTTTTCTTTTACTTTTTAAATATTTATTCTCTCTCTCTCTATCTCTCTCTCTCTATCTCTCTCTCTCTCTGTGTATGTGTGTGTGTGTGTGTGTGTGTGTGTCTGTGTGTGTGTCTGTGTGTGTGTGCACGCACATGTGCCGTAACATGCATTGGAAGGTCAGAGGACAAGGTATGGGGAATATTTCTTGATGATTCTTAAATGTATCTTAAAACTATTAAAATCTAAAGTTAACACCATCTATCCTCTTCCAAACAGAATTACCTATCTTGGTCTATGTGCTATTTTGTTGTTTTTTTTTTTAAGTATCTAATATCTGTTCTTTTGCCTTCTCTGCCTCTCTCTCTGGTCCCCTTCTTCCTCCTTCATCCAACATGACCCATGTCCTTTTAGGGAGAGGGACGAGGATAAGGGAGATGACTCCAAAGGTAAAGGATTGTACCACCACACCTGAACACCGGGGTTTAAAACTCGGAACCCACACTGGAGGAAAACGCTAATGCCTGCAAACTCTTCTCTGAGTCTGTGCATGTGTGTAAAAGACCATGTGTGTACATGCTTGTATGCACATATACCGATGTAAAACTATCCTTTTAACAATGCGGTCAGCTCTCTACCAGTTTTAACCAGCCATGGGTTGAACATACCATATATATATATCGAACACATAGGCCTCCCTTGTTATTCCCCACCAGTCCAGCAAAGCAGCTGTTTACACGGCATTTACATCACACTAGGTGTTCCAGGTTCACAATTTAAATGAACGGAAGAATGTGCACTGGCTATGGCAAATACAGTACATTTTACAGAGGGGCTGTGAACATCCACTGTATCTGGCAAGGTTCTAGAACCCATCTCTCGCAACACAGAGGAATCGCTGCATCCTGTTCCAGTGACCTGATATTGAAATGATATGCCTTTGAGAAAACTGCTTTAAGTAATCTGGAAGTGGAGAATGGAAGGCAGACAGGACAAAGGGGAGAAAGGAAAATGAAAACCCCGGCTACTTTGAGCCTGACTCACTACACTCCTCATTTCACACAGAAGCAGCCTTTACAGCAATGCAGAGACTCTGATAAAGAAGCCCCAGCTGAAGATAAACCAAAGGACTTGCCCTGTCAGGGGTTTGTTCTCATCAGCAAGGGACATGGCACTCAACCCTACGTACCTTGTGCCCCTTTAAGTGACGGCAACAACACTGACTAAAGGACATTCAAAGACAGTAATAATGCCCCAGAATAAGTTTGTAAAGGCAACTAGGAATTTTAGAAGTTTTTTTCCAGAAGAAACCACGAATGTTCCTGAAGAGAAACTACAGACTGATAGTCTTTGTTTGTTGCTTGGTTTTAAGTACTTAAAGATTTTAAGACTATATGGAGGGAGGGCAAAAAATGAAAAGTGAAAAAATGAAAAATGAAAAGGGAGGAAAATACTGCAAAACCAAGGAAAGGAAAGCAAAATCCTTTCTTGGGAAAATTATGACCTCTACAAGAAAATTGGATGGCATAGACAATTTATAGAAGTCATATCCAATAGAACTCTGAAATAGTCTTAATTCTAAGGGGCACAAGCTAACGGATTAGTGAGGCACTGTGTTCCAACTCTTAATGGAGAGAGACTGACTGGTACCTGAAGCAGGCAGGTACTTCAGGGGCAGAACAGTCATGTTCAGATCTGCCTTTTTGTCTGCAATGTACCAGAGATGATGAGGTACAAAGGCTTCAATGCCAGCCCATGATCACACATGGGGGCGATAAAGACTAGACATCTTAGGAATGGCTTATTACTGCAGCAAACCTTAGCTTATCCTGACTAGATGTGAAAGTTAACACCATAGACATCCTAGATAATGTAAGAGAATAGTGCATATCTAATCCAAATAATAATTTAACAATGCCAAATTATGGATAAAACAGATTTCCTACATAAATACTTGAAGCTTCGATGGAACAAAACTTCCAACATTGTAATTGACAATGCAGAAAAAAGAATATTAAAATATACTCCTGCCGACCACTTGGACAGAGAGACTGGAGGAGCATCTCAAGGTCGGGGCAGACTGGGCTTCAGAGTGAAACTGTCTCAAAAAAAGAATTAAAATATAAATACAAAGAGCTCTTAAAAGATAGTGGGGGGGGGGGCTGGAGAGATGGCTCAGATGTTAAGAGCATTGCCTGCTCTACCAAAGGTCCTGAGTTCAATTCCCAGCAACCACATGGTGGCTCACAACCATCTGTAATGGGATCTGGTGCCCTCTTCTGGCCTGGATGCATAGACACAGACAGAATATTGTATACATAATAAATAAATAAATAAATAATAAAAAATATAGTGGGGGGAGTCATTTGAAAGTAGAACCTAGCACACAAGCCATGAAAATAAATCACAAATTAGATATTATTAAATGTTCTTAATGAGAAGCACAAGTTACAATGTAGAAAGTCAGTTGGTCTGTGCACATGCATTCACTAAATGCGTATCTCTACTTGTTACATGCCTGCTGTGTACTTCATGCTAGACATTACTGCTGTCAGCAGAGAGTCTATGCCTATCAGCTATACTTCGCTAACGGTAGGTAGCTCAACCATCACCAGGTGGGCATCAGAGCCCATGCTACCAACCATAGGCTATTCTGTTTCCATATGCTCCAGCCTAGAAAAACTAGACATCAAGACATTAGCTGGACGAGGT